TATATTAAAATATTATATAATTAAAATATTTACATATAATTTGCTATTTAAGACTATCTTGTTAATCCCAACTTACATAATCTTTATAAGCAACAGTTTTACATCCTTTTCCTGTTTTCCTAGGTGTACTTCGTACCTCACGTTTCAATAAAGGTTTCACTTTTTGTATAACTTTCCTTCTAATATTATTTTCTTGATTTACATCAGAATTGTCACTACTCTCACTTTTATCAGAAGTTTCAGAAGATTCTAAACTGGCTTCATCATTTGAAGGTATATATTCGCTGTCTTCTGACACGCTCTCATTGCCACTTGAAGTTACACTGGGCAAATATCGTTTTCGAGATACTAAGTTATTAGAAAAAAAAGAAATTAAAAGATGCAAATATGTTTTTTACAATTTGTAATAAAATATGTATTTATGAAATAGGATACTTTTGATATCCTTCTTAGTTGTTTGATTGTCAGGGTTTATGATAATTTTGTCAAGAATGACTTTTAAGATTGGAAGTGTTTTAAAACTTTTTGGAGTCTCAGGTGTACGGCACTGATTGGCTTTAATCATCATGCTATTTCTTTTTGTTGGTGTTTGAAATCCATATAGTTTTCTTCCACTTACATCCTTCTCAGAAAATAATTCTAAAACATATCAATACAACATTAGATAAGAATAAAATAGCTACTCATATAAATCTTTAGCAATTACCAAGTGGTTTTTGTACATCTTCTTCGATATCTTTTAGTTGTTCTTCTATCTCAGCATTCAATATATTAGTTTGTGCTACAAAAATATAAACAATACACTGATTACAGATGCAGTATAACAAATCATAGTTTGAATTAAACTGAATAAATCTTAAAGACAAACTACTTCTACAAGATTTATATTAATTAACAATTATATTATCTAACCAAAATATTTATAATAATTTATATTAATGTAATCTTACGACTGCTAATGAATGTTTCCTCATCACTGACTTCTGTATATTTTACGCGAGATTTTATTCGCGTAGATCTTCTCACATTTCTGGCAGAAGCCATTTTTCACAAAATTTTCTATGTCGTACGTCTTTCTTTTTTCCAAATGGTAGTACTAGATTTCCTAATCGAATCCTATTTGACTAATAATAAATTAAGAGAGTAGTGTGAATATTTGGTTAGAAGATATTGAAAAATAAGATGAAAAGTCATTAATAAAAAAAAAGCGGCGCTGTGTCTCACAAATCGAGATATTAGATATTAAAAACCCGACATCCTTACAAAAGTATGCGTTTTTGTTAATGAAGTGATTAAGAGTAAAAAAACTGATAATATTGTACTAATTTTATGACTTATTAGTAAAGAGAAACCTGAGAACCTGAAAAGCCATACCGGCTTGTTTCCTGTTACCACCGAAATCGGCTAAAGTCACTAGATATATAAAGGGAGCTTTCTAGGGGTGCGTTCCAAAACTTGACTCTGTCAACTCCGAGTATCTGTCATCTGTATTCAACATTCGGTGACTAACAAGGATAAAATGATACTTAAGTTAACAGAGTTTAATTTTGGAACCCAGAGGCACAAATCGAAGATTGACGCACAGAATCATTTCATTTTTGTTTCTTACTGATTATTGAACAAGGGCAGAATGACTCTTGTATGAATTTGTGTCGCTTGCTGGAAAGTTCCCTTTTATGAACTATTCTGATTGTTTCAGCGACAAAAGAATCACGTGATCAAAATGGACGCTTGATATTCATTTTGACTACGTGTTTTCACAGTCGATTTGAGCAGCTCATGAAAAAGAATGAGATTGATGATTAAAAGATTGAAGTTTAACCAAAAAAATAGAACAAAAAGAGTCAAAATTTCTTTGTCCTCATTGATAAAATTTCAATCTTTAATCTTTAATCTCAATCTTCAATTGCATCGTCTGATTTCGGTCTAAGCGTAGTTGTAAGTGGTGTAATTGTAAGAATTGACCAATCACAAATATTCTCCTCACATTCGACTTGATTGGTCAATTCTTACAACTACACTGCTTACAACACGTTTACGATTATTATAAATAGACTTTTCTGCTGTTCCGTCGAAGTGTGAACGCGCCTTGAAGGAATAGTAGGCCAGAGACGAAAGAGAACGAGCGTAACGAAACATAACCTATCAAAAGTATCAAATGTGTTCTGTGCTCGTGTTTTACTGCTATGCTTGGTGAAAACATTTTGTTTTCGAATAGTTTATACCATAATTTAGGACAATTTTTAAAAAAATGACAGACTCCGCTAACGAAGATTCGGTAACGGAACTGAACACGCAATTGAATAAATCGATGGTATTGATGGAGAACATCGAGGATATGCTATCTCCAAATCACAAGCGTAAATCTATCACAATAAAAACAGAAGAGCCGTCCAAAGTGCATAGCAGTCCTGTTAAAGGAAGGTCGCGCAAAAGCATTCTGAAGAAATCTAAGAAATCGCTTGACAAAAACGCGGCGGATGATGAGATTGTGCAAACCTCAAACAACGCTAATGGATCTAAGGAAGTGACATTTAACGGATTGTCATTATCCACTTCAGTTTTGTCCAGACCGTGCACTGTAAGTGGATCATTGTTCCGTTTAAATTTCAATTTTTATTATTTTAATTTTGATTAGTCTCTACACATTTAATTTCTATTTAAGTATAATTTTAATTATGAAAGAATAAGTCTGTGCTATTGTCTATTTATCTTTCAGCTTAAAGAAATAATTGAAAAGGAGACATTGAATGAGGAAAATGCATCTTCCACATTTAATTTGGAAGATGTATCAGACAGTGAAGAAATTTGGATAATGGACATCCCTAAATTAGTAAGTCTAGATAATGGAAGAAACATAGTTTAATCTCATAATTAAGATTGTCTTAAGCATCGACGAAATATTATTAAAGATGATCGATGGAAAATTTGCGTGTTAAAATTTATGTGATTAAAGCCCAGTTGCACTAATGTTATTTTGACTTTAAGCAAGGATTAAAACTATCTCTGTCTTGTTTTAAAGCAAAAGAGAGACAGAGAGTTTTAAGTCTTGCTTAAAGTCAAAGTGACGTTGGTGCAGCCTAAAAGTAAAAAACTGATAATATGGTACTAATTTCATAATTTAGTTTTGCAGACATGTATATGTGTTTATACTTGTAATAATACTTTTTTATTTAAAACTGTGATTTTAATGTTTGCATCTTAGTTTGATTATCAATAGAGATAACTATAGAAAAAAATTGTAATTTTTTGGCAATATGTAAGGTATAGCATTTAAAGTATGCGTACTTATTTATACAGCATGTATATAATAAAAAAATCATTAATTTAATAATAAATTATCAAAATATTAGTAATTGTAAATATTTATGTTAATGTAAATTTTTATTATTTGTCAGTAATGTCATCATTCTTTGCTCGTCTCTGAGTCCCATTGACAGTTACGAAAATTTTCTAAGGACTAATGAATCTTTAATATTATCTCGTCAATGCCTTAAATAATGAGAACAATTTTAATATCTCAATTTATAATAGGTGCAGATCTTTTTAACCTTTTATTCTAACTTTTAAATTTTGGCTTTTCTGGCAAAAAAATGTTTCCAATACTATCTTAAAGATCATGGATACAAAAAACTGAAATAGTAAAACATAAGCAGTAAGCGAATTGATCAATCACAGTAGAGTCCATAAGATCATAACATAAACAGTAGCCAATTCAATATATTGGTTTCCTTACTGCTTACATCTCACTGCTTTAAGTTTTTTGTAATAAGACTCTTTAATATTCCATTGTCTATTTAACATTTACAACACTTGTGAATATTATTTCATGTCATATCATCTTCTTGTCATCAAATTAACATTAAATATTAAACAAGAATAATGCATGCGAGTATTGCAAATATTAAAGAAAACACTCTAAGAGTATTTTCAAACAAATTTGTATAATCATATTAATGTGTATAAGGAAACTTATTCAATTGCATTTTATGTGCATAACAGAAATGCAATTGAATAATCTTCTCTTAAATAATTTTTTCTTTATGTATATATTTATCTGAATAGACTGTAAGTTTTATAAACAAATTGATTAGATCTCAATTATAAAGTTTAGAGCAAATTTAGCTTATAGCAAATTAAGATCAGCTCAGAGTTTAGAGCAAAAAATTAAAAGCTTACTGTAGTTCTTTTTCAAAGAATTCTGAACTGGTTCTGATACAATAAGTCTTATACAATAAGTTAGAAACAAATTGTATCTGTCTCTTTAATTTATTGTACCAGAGTACACCAGTTCAAAACTTGGAATAGTATTTCAAAATTATATTTAAGACAATCTTGAATGTAAGATTGAACTGGCAAAATGAACTAACCTATGTTTTTAATATTTCGAGACATTGAGGATATGATTTTGTGTTACATAGGTAGACCCACAAGAGCTTCATGGTCAGACTATAGTTTTCGAAAACAAGTCAAAGTTCAAAATTAAAAACGAACGATATTGTATAGTCGCTCATAACACAAATCACAATGTAACGTGTGTTCTTAATTCCAAGAAGGATGCTCCACAGTACAAAACTGGTAAAAAAATTTTTATTATGACATCAAAATAGAAGTTTTGCATGTTCCTTTGTTATATTATTTCTTTTTAATTTATTAATACTGATATTTCTTGTATAGTAAATATTAAGCCTGCTGGTTTCTTGTCAATAAGAAGAAAATTGTCTGAAGCACCGGAAGTAAAGCCGATACCTATCGAGAGTTCTGGCAACATACAATTCCCTAATAATTTAAGAACAAGGCATCCACTGTTTGGCGTTATTCCCAAACAAGGAAAGAGCTCAAAGAAACGTAACTCAGTCAAAACAAGCTAGAAATTATGAATATAAATATAACTTGAATTTAATTTCAGTTGGATTTAATTCTAAATGACTTAAGTCTAAATGATTTTGTAAAATAGATATAATAATTTGGTACAAATCATTTTTTAAAATAATCTGTAAAGATGTTTACACACATTATAATGACTTATAATTATAATGATTATAACAGTACACAATTTTTTTAAGTTCATTGTTCAATAAAAAAAAATGATTGAAATGATAAGGATAATATTTTGTAATTATTATAAAAATATATATAATGTGTGTAATAATATGAGTTTATTTTATATTGTTAGAATCGTTAAGTCTGCTCTGTCTATCCACAAGCGATATGTCAAAAAATTTGGGACACTCTATATAGTTTTAGTATTTATATATTCCAGATATAAGTAGTTATAACATTCATTTTATATATTGCAAAAAAATTTACAGGGACTATACAGATGATATGGCCTTAATTATTTGCAAAAATACAATAGAATTAATTTTTAAGCTGCTATTTCGAACGATGGATGGAAGTCACCATATGGAAATTCGATATCCATTGGCTGCATTAATTTGGTAACTTAGCTGCGAGATACGAGAGTGGGAATTGATAGAAATTTAGAAAATGAGCTGATAAAAGACATAATGCAAAACAAAGGTCATGGGCTAGTTTACATCGCGCACTTGATAACTATACTAACTATACTAGTAACTTTCTATTGAATTATTTCACTTTCGTCAGTAAACATATACATGATATGTGTATTAAATTGATCATTTTTTATGCATATTATACCACTTTGGTACATTATGCTTTAGATACTTTACTGAAATTAAAACGATTTACTAGTTAATACACGTATCAAGTGAGATTGCGATTGTGATTTGGACTGGAATTTAACCAATCAGATTTTGATTGATTAAAAAGTTTTTTATACTTTATATGCTAGTTTTTATACGCACATTTATATTGCCCTTTGAAGAAGTAGATGTCAACTACATAACAATATGCACTTTTTTTATTATTCTCTGGAAATAAATTGCTGATATCATTCTTAAATTGTCTGTATTACGGATTAAACGCAATAATTTTTGTATAACAATTATTTTTTCCTCTTCTACAGATTTAAAAATCCTTTTCCAGGATTGATGTATACACATTAATACGTGTATGTAGAATTTATGCCGAGAACGAAAAATTTTAAATTGACATCTTACTCCAATATGACGTCAAAGCTGGCTTATATCATAGATTTTCTGCATTTAACAGAAAAAGCAGCTTTGCAACTGTTGTAAAATTCTTTAATATGTTTGGTCTTGCCCTTAATTCCTCATTGGATCTAAATGTATAAATCAATCATATTCAAAAATTTTACAACAGTTGCAAAGCTGCTTTCTCTGCTGAACATAGCCATAGATAATAATAAGATAATAATAAGAATTCCTAGACATAGGCCATAGGTATTTATAGTCGGATCTTATATTTAAGATCGTCTTAAGTACAGTCTTAAGAT